CCTTGGCATCCCATAAAAAAAGTATATACTAAACTATATTCATTTTTGTTCCCTTTTTCTGAAAGTGGGCTCAGAAATCAACGGAAAGTGATGTACAACAGATACGCTAAACAAAGGTTCTGGCTAAGCATGCCAAGGGAAACGAACTACAGGGTTACCTTTCATTAGATGGAAATTCATTACTACAGCCTGTAAAATTCTATAAACATGGTTATTGATTTGAATTTTTTGTTGGGGAATGAAGGGAAGCTTTCAACAAGATTTGACCAGCCTTAAGCCTTTTTTCCGGGATCAATTTTCAGTTTACTCGATAAATTGATAAAAGACGCCCTCTTTCCTAACAGATCACAGAAAGAGCAAAGAGATGGTTTCTTCGACTGTTACTGCCTTCGTTGTCATCTATACATTGGAGGCATTCGTTATCATTGTTGGAAACACGTTCACCATATTTGTCTTCTGGACCCAGCGATCCCGATTCAAGCGAACATATTCCATTCTTATTAACCTCGCAGTTTCTGATCTGCTTGTGGGGATTGCCGAACCAATTGTGCTGGGCACAGAGAAGATTGCTAAGATGACGGCCATTCCAGGTAAAGAAAAAAGTTTTACAAATCCATCATCTGCATTTCAAGTCCTTGCGTCGAGTACTTCAGTGCTTTTTCTCGCGCTTATTTCCTTGGAACGTGTTTATTCCGTTTTATGGCCAGTTCATCACCGTACGACCAGAACTCGGTCTTACATTTTCGTCATAACTGTTGTCTGGGGTCTTGGATTCTGCTTCTTTGGGCTGTCTGTATTATCCTTATATCATACAAAATTAGAGAGGAAATATGTTACTCTAACCATTCACGCGTGCCTTTTCATAGCACTATTAGCGATTTGTGGAAGTTACCTTCAAATACGTAGGAAATGGCGCTCAAACGTCATTCCTGGTGAAGAGATCCACGCTCGCCAGACAGCTGAACGCAACTTACGACTGTCAAGAACAGTTCTCATAGTTATCGCTGTGTCACTGGTGTTATGGTTGCCAGCGACTATTGTGTACACTGCCAGACCCTTTTGCCGTCCACCATGTGTTAGGCCGATTGCAATGTCGGTTGTAAATGTTCTTCATCTGGCAAATTCTATGGTCAATCCGATCGTCTACAGCTTTAGAATGGCAATATTCAAGGATGCTTTGAAGAAATTGTCGAGAAGATGCCGACGACATTCTGTTTGCATCGAACCCGTTCAGGTTACTGACAGAGGCTTGGGTGGTTCTTTCCCTCCGAAAACTCAACATCCAAGATTTAACTCACCTGAACTGGAACCCAAGGGTGACATCTCAACACATGTGTGAAATATCAGAAATAAGACCTTCAATCAACAAACAATATTCAGTGACTGTTAGCAAACAGAAAAATACAGCAAATATAGATAGAGTCGACGGTATTATAAAGGGGAAAAGCAAGCGTATAGGACGTACACTAATTCAGTATTACAAATGAAAGTATGGTAGAGTCATAGCAATTACACAGTTTTGTTAAATGGACAGTGTAGTATGTTTCGAGAATGTTAGTACTGTATTTCATGATCATTGTTTGTGTCATTCTTCCCTTAATATAAATGGAATCTTTCACAAATCTGTTTTTTGGCGGTAAACATGTTCCACTTGTTAATCAAGAAGGCTATTCCCTTACTAATTTAAAGAGTTCCAAAATTTAAGTTCGGTAGTTTTCTTAATCATATCAATCGTTTCGTAAAATAAGATATCAGAGTTAAGCTACAATTATTAGCAGCCTTAGTTACGAATTAAGCTCAGACAAACGTGTTTTAGCAAAAAAAAACTATTTTAATCAAGATATGTACACTGAGCTCGGAAATAACTGAGTTGAAATCGTGTTTACAGTTTGTTTTTATAAGTAAACTGAAACCTGACATATATGAAATTATGTATATGAAACTAATATGACGGGCATTATTCTAGGTAAAAAATTTGAGGATAGTCATCCTCATCCGTTTATTACCAGTTTTAAAATCAACAAAACCGATGGAGTTTAACTATGAACTCGACACTGAAAACTTGTCATTTAAAGTAATTTGGTCCATACATATATCGCGATTGCCATTGGTAGTAAAGCCGGAAAAGCAGTGTAAATAGCAAGGCATAATGTAAATAAAACCTTGCATCAAATAAGCAAATGATAATTTGACTATTTATCCAGTTGTTGAGGTCGCAGCCCCTTCCTATCATATTTGTATCGTATCCTGTTGCTATCAGCATTTATTCGTTGACTGGGACAAAATTTAGACGTCATGTTTGCAGTTGTACTAATACATTTACCTCACTGAGGTAATGCTTATCATTCTTCCAACAGATTGCATGTCTGTGAGAATAAATATGCAGTTCAAAATTGGGCATGTGTGCAAGTTATTAAAACTGTTCAAGGTTTGTTAACCCTTTAAACCCTAAGATCAAAATTTGAATTCCTATTTGTTGCCCACTATTCATTTCCTACAGAAGTAGTACACTCTAAATCAGAAAGATCTGTTTTAGCCCTAAAAACAGGGCCGTTTCGGTGAGTAAAATACAGTCCTATTTTTGGGTCTTATTTGGCTCCCTTAAATCAGGGCCAATACAGTCCAATTAGCTAGGGCTGATTTGGTCCCAGGGCTGAGATGGGCCCTACCGTGGGCTGGAATAGCCTTTTGGTAGAGCTTTTTTGGCCTAAATTGTGCTCAAATGGCTCCAAGAAGGGCTGAATCAGACTTTGGCCTGCAGGGCTGAATTGACAGTTTGGGGCTGAAACAGATCTTTTTAATTTACAGTGTAGGGAGAAATTGATAAAATATCAAGCAAATTCAACTTGTGTCTTCATGACCGTAATTCTCATGACCACTCTGTTTTACAAAGCATTGATATTACAAGGAGAAATTTAATTAATGCTGATCACTCTTAGGGCTCAAAGGTGTTAATAACAATATCCAAACACGTCTGGACTATATGAATGGAGTAAACAAAACGAATTAGAAATATACATATCAAATATATATTTTTATATTTTTCCGCATGCAACCCTAAACGAGACCTTCACGACCAAATATGATGGCGTTTTGCCCAGAACACTTAAAGTGAGACCGAATTTCGAAATTTACACCCCTAAGCGAGACGACGAGCATCCCCACCTCTTTCATATGCGGAGTTTCCCCCCGTCGGGGAGTTTAAGCCTTACGTATGGGGCAAAGGGCAAACGTCAGATTCAAGTTGAGAATTTCTCAAAATAAGTCGCCCTTCATGAATTCGAGGTAGGTTCGGCTCATGAAAAGTTCGGCGTCTGAACCGGGCCTTAACCTCTCTAATAACTAAGTGTGCCACCGTTGCTATGTTTCTTCTCCTACTTTACTCTCAGTCTCTCTTGCTCTCTATCTAATGTTTCTCTTTTTTGTTGTAAAGCATTTTATGGCCGGTTTATGATATTTTTCTTACAAAGGTTCAAGACCATGACCCTTTACACAATCTTTATTTATTTCAATCAGCATTTTGCACGCCATTATAACGACCTATAAGTAATTCTAAATTTCTACTTAAGTATTCTGATCACATCAGTTTATCCTCGCACTTCCTTTTTGGCTGCTTGAATCCTTTTGATACGATAAAGATTTAACTACAGTATGCACAGTAAAGGACGAAGACATTTGTTGCGTTCAGCCACCTTTTAAGCATCACTTATACGGCGATCAGCAAACGACAAAGATGCGCTCGAGAATGATAATTGAATGAAGTTCTCTTTCATGATTGTAAGTTACGATGTTGAGAATGTGAAAGCCGGCTCAGCTTGTTGAAAACGGCCAGTGACAAACGATAAGCGTAATGAGCAGCGGAAAAAATTGTCACTTGGCCACCTTCGTTTGCCGTTTTCTGCTTTTTCATTACCTTGGCGCCCAATTAATATCCTATTTGATCAAGAGATTTAGAACTATCGTCACGGGGAAAATGCCAGCAAAACGTCCAGTTGTACCACGTGTCTAAGTTTTTCCGATGTTCCTGATATTTGCAAGGAGTATTTTCACGCAAGTTTCATCCGCAAAAGTCAAAGAGGACTATTTCGATAGACTTTGCCACGCCATAAGCGGGTGCCTTGTCTTATCTGGTTTGTTTTTACGGAGAGATTACTTAGTTTACTTGCGTTTGTTAAAAATGGCCGGCATCAGAAATACTAAACCTCGACCTACGAGTGTCAACCGCTCCATCCAGTCCATCTCACATCTTATCAACGGTTGTGTCAGTAGCATGATATAGTTTAATCCTCTGAGCAATTATCCGCACGTTAGCAAATAGATAAGTATGATAAGATGGGCCGCCGATAATTACCCCCTTTTAAGTCTTTCTAACACCCAACGTAAGGAAAAAAATACCAGGTCTTCTCTAATCACTCGTTCAAATCCGCTCTGCCATTAAATCTAAACCAAATAAGCAACCTACAATCGAAATGTTGAATGATTATGCTGAAACAGTATTAAGTAATCTCATTGCCTTTAATCTCACATTTGAAAAAAAAATACCATAGTAACGGTAATTCAGTTGAAAACACGAAAATTGTAATATCTCTTTTGAACCAAACATGTAATTCATTGGCACTAAAATCACATAAGCGGTATACGATTGAATTAATGTGAAGGCAGTTTTTAATTACAGTACTTTATTTCCAATTCATTTCTTTGAAAACTCATGAAGAGCTAAAGCGCCTGTCTAAGTCATGCCACATTCTGACCAGTTGAAGTTTTTGTTCTTGGGAATAGCAAATGGTCAATAAATCACGTACGTACATTTTGATTTGGTCTGAACAAAAAGTGTTTGGAAAGAAAAACAATAACAGACGATTTTTTTTTCGCTTCATTACTTTTATAACTAGTGAGTTTTGCTTCACAGCTGTTTCGCATAAAGAACAAGGTATCCTTTGAACTTTTCGCTGGATATTTGAAAAAGTTAATGTATAAAAACAATTACCAGCAAAAAAAAAATGTATTTATCGACGTCCATCATCTTCGTGGTCATCTACACAGTACAAGCAATCATCATCATCGTTGGAAACGTCTTTACTATCTTTGTCTTCTGGACTCAGAGATCTCGCCTAAAACGAACTTATTTTCTCTTGATCAACCTCGCAATCGCCGACTTTCTTGTGGGGATTACAGAGCTAACAGTCTTAGGAACCGCTATATCACAAATCACGACGGATGATTACGCAGTACTAAAGCAAAGCCAATCATATCCCTTCGTGGCATTCGTTCTCCTATCATCAAGTACCTCCGTTTACTTTCTGGCGCTTATCTCCTTGGAACGAGCTTTTGCCGTCTTGTGGCCAATCCGCCATCGCATCGCAAACAGTGGAGTTTACATCAAAAGCATCCTTGTTGTGTGGACAATTGGACTGTGTTTCTTTGCTTTAACTCTCCTCTCCTTCCATTACCCAGAGGTGAAAAAGAAATACGTTTTCGCGTGTACTAATACATGTCTTCTTATTTCTCTCTTGGTTATCTGTGCCAGTTATCTTAAAATACACAATCGATTACGTGCACCATCACCCGAGCTTGAAATCCATACCAATCAACTAAGAGAACGCAATGTGCGGCTTTCAAAAACACTTTTTATCGCAATTGCTTCATCTCTTGTGTTCTGGATGCCGGCGTTTGTTGTCTACTCAACGAGAGAATTATGCCTACGATGCATTCCTGATACTGTGGTACCCTACGTGTATGCCCTACATTTAGCAAATTCTATGATGAATCCTCTCGTCTACAGCTTCAGGATGCAAATTTTCAAAGACATCCTGAAGAAATTCTGCAGCCGAAAACGACATAACATGGAAATGAGAGCTACACCGCAAAACACAGTGGATTTAGCTTGGAGAGTTTCTTTCACTCCAAAAACGCATGAGGCAATTTCACCAACTATTTTATCAACTTCCGGCAATGACGAAAAAAATACATTAAACGCACACACACACTCATCCAAACTAATTGTATAAAGCTTAGGTTGGAGAATCCTAACCTAATAGTTTGCCAAATCTAGTGCAATATCAGTCTTTGCTCTTGCGCAAAATTGTGCAAATGTGGTATTTGCTACACATTTGCTGTAATTTGGCCGCCCTAGTAAATCCCTTTTTTCGTCCAGTGCCACTTAATTGCGCATCGCAGAGACTGCATGCCTTCTTCAGCGGTATTCTCGACAGTTTATAACCCACTGAACGGTAAATTGATAGAGATATACCACAAACGTTCTTTTTGAGGGTTTGAAAATGAAATTGTTTAGCCTTAAGATTTATCACCTAAACGTATTCAAAATAAAACCTGAGTAAACATAAAGCACTTAAAATGTAAATACAATGTGTGATTATTCTACATGGAAGACTAAATACTCCTTGGAACACCAGGCGACAGATTAAAGTTTAATGTTTGTGGAGCTGATGACTGGAAGCTTTTAAGGCTCTGGAAGTGTGTAAGTACTTATAAATTACTATTGAATATATCATATACAAGTAAGTCTTAAACTTAAAGAGATAAATTTGAAAAGAGGGCCTTTTCTTGCATTTCGTGACACCCCCGACGCACGGTGAAAACTTTAAATTATGAAATGAATAAATTGAAAAACACATAAGACTTCCTATCAAAAACAAATTCAGCCCTTAAGTAGCTATTTCAACTCTTCAATAGTCAAAATTTAGAAATCTAATTCCCAACACAGAGAAGAAGAGATAACTGACCAATCAAACTTCGTAAACAACGTGACGTAATTTTCCTTCAGGTTCCCGCGCCCGCTTAAAAAAATGCCCGACAAACGGGGGAAAAACTCCCGAAAGCCGAGAAAGCTTTCAAAGGTAAACCAGGAATATTACCGAAACACTGAGCAGGATATTATTGCCTTATACCACCCGGGCCAAACGTAACATTATGAAACCTATTGACGGCCTCGCAACTTCTTGAAGTTGAACGATGCCTGCTTGACCCTCTGCATAGTAAACTTATACTGCAAATTAAAATTTAAAATTCTTATGTTAAAAGTCTAGAATAAACAGTGAAATAATTTTCTAATAAAATTCATTAGCTGCGTATCGAAAAGTGTCCAAAACCTGACCCTGACATCTTCGCAAAAAGTGAAGCTTGTAATGAATGTGAGAAGCATTTTAAAAGCTTAAATTAAACTTGGATGTTGTAGTCACGATCGTGTTTTGAGCTAATTTTATGAATGAACAAACTCAAATCAATAGACAGAGAAGCCGTTTCTTGAAAATTTTTACTCAAAGTCCAAAAAGTTAATCCTTTAAAGCAATTCGGAAAACAGTATCTGGATCGTGGATCCGTTCACGCAAGTGAAATCGGCTAAGCACATGGCAAAATTCAACACAAAATCCATCTCAAATCAGGGCACATTCTGTTATTTTTCTTTAGCGCCGAAGAGAAAAATGTATAAAAAGTCTATGAAACATTTAAAAATACATAAATTCCCTTTCAAAAGCGTAATTGTCTTGGCCATAGAGTTCGAAATGTACCTGAAAATTCAGCAAAAACTTCGCTGACATGGTTGCATTTCAAAACAGACCATGGGCTCCGCCGTGAAGAAAACGAGGTTCAATTCCTCGAAGGACGATTTCTTGATGAAAAGCTTCCCTTTCTCCACAAAAAGAAAGCTGAGCATTCTTTTGAACATTCTCTTTCCATTTTTGTCTTTTAACGGTGTATTTTTAACTTTGAAATGCAGAACTCTTGTCTTAAAACATCTGCATGGTGATCGCGCAGCAGCCATTTTGTTGAAAATGGATATCCGTCGCTAAGGTTTCCAAATATGGTAAAAGTGAATATTCACGAGCATTGAACGCGAGTTACACGTTTCAACCCCTTATGAATTTCTGGTTGTAGTTAATTTAATTTTTTTTCTCTCTTATATTTGTGATAACAAGAATAAATAGATATATGAAATAAATGTAAACAAAATAAAACCAGTGTTATGTTTCTCATATCATAACTCGAAAATGTAATTTCCGAAATAGGAATGCTTTTAGGACAGACTAAACGGATAAGTGAGAGTCTTCATTTTTAAGAGAATTGGGAAGGGTATTCCATACTGATGGGGTTCGAGTGCTTAAAAGGAAAACGCACGTTCACCGTATTTCACAGAGTTCACAATGGGGACAGTAAAAAGTGATTTGGATGATGAGCGAAGACTTCGTAGTGGATGATATTCCTGTAAAATGGACCGCAAGCAGGTACGAAAAAGTCCATGAAGAATCTTGGAAGTAATAAGAATGACTTGCAATATTATAATTGTTTCAACTGGCAGCTAGTGTAGATCACGAAGAACAGGTTTGACGTGTTTGTGTATTTTTTAGCAGTCCAGTAATAAGACGTGCTGCAGTATTTTGAATTCTTTGAAGTTTTTCAACTTTCTGTTTTGGAAGACCATTTAAGATAGTGTTGTAGTCTAAACGTGATACACTGCATTAAAGGGGCATTGAGTAACAGTTTGAGGTTTTTGTTAATAAGGTCAAAGTTTGCTAATGTGCCCAGTGGACCTGATGGCATATTGATTACATTTCTGCATGTCTCGTTTAGTTGTCTAGAATAAATCCAAGATTACGAACTCTTTCAGTTAGTTCAACGTCAGTACTGTCAAAAGAGAGCTTCTCAATGTCAGGCGTCTTAGTATATCGGGATGTGAACAATATAAGCTCTGTCTTCTCAGCATTTGTGACATTTTTTTCCTTGCATATTTTGCGTGTTCCATTGCATTTCATCCTCTATACAGTTTTGGAGGGCAGTCAGGGAGAGAACCTGATTTGCAGGATCGATAGCTATTTACAGTTAAGTGTCATGTGCATATCGCGAGCAATTACATCCTGTAAAGGGGGGGGGGGAGGGCAATATAGATGGTAAAAAGCAGCGGTCCAAGTATAGACCATTGTGGGACGTCATAACACGGAGCGCGAAGCGTGAACATCTGGTCTCCAATTATTATTGAGAAAGATTTCTGGTTAAGGCGAGCAATTACATCCTGTGGAGGGCCAATAAAAAGGGTGAAAAGTAGCGGTCCAGTGTAGACCCTTGACACAGTGCGCGAGGAGTGAACACTTGATCGACAATAATTATTCATTGCCGCCGGTTTTCAAGGTAGCATCTGTACCAGTTGCTGCCACCTTCTCAGTCACTTTGCTAAGGAAAGGAATATCAGCCACCCGCCTGTCGTTCTTAAGAATCTCCTTGTCGAGGTAAGTAAGTAATCGGTTTAATAACAGGGTTTCCACATTGTGGCTAAATAAAAATATGTATCAAATATTTACAATACAAATATACTATAAAAAAGTAATAGAACAAATAAGGATCAAAAGAGAAAGTATTTACAATGATCGTATCAATAAAACATAAAGTACAATTAAGATAAGCTGGCCTGTGCCCGGTTCTTTATAAAAGAATTTAAAAATGCGCGAACTAAATAGCCTAAAATCGTCACATTTCTCAAGATTAAGGTTATTCTTTTTCAGACGTGAACGTACAAGTCATAAGATAGCTTCAAGAAAACTCCCCTGCTGACAGAGTCCACTGATTGACTATGCTAGTTATGATAGGACGTAATTCTTTAGTACGTAGGTAGGAAGTGGGTCAATGGAACATGTTTTTGTGGAAAGAGACTGAATGGTGTTTTTAACGGTAGAGCAGGATACAGGCATCAAGTTAAATTCGTGAGCCAAAATCGGACCCTGAGATTGCATTGAATGGTTGACTGCATTTCCCGGAGTTCATTCCTAATGGCTTGGATTTTTCGAGAAAGAAGTCATTGAAATTTTCATTCATTGTATCCAAAGATGTTATAAGAGGGCAAGGCTGACCTTTATACCAGGTTGAAACAGTTTGTCGATCATTAATAATAAGAGAAAGTTTATTTCTTCCTGCCTTATCCATCCTTACAGTTTTGTAATAAGACAATTTCTGAAAATAGGACAATTTGTGAAGCGGTCATGTTATTAAAAATCAAAAAAACACCTTTTATTCGAACAAAATAATAAACGAGAAAGACATAAGCATCGTCGGATTAAACCTCTCTAGCCTCAACAAAGCTGTCATTTCGTGGACTAAATCCAGGCACGCCCTACAAAATCGCTCGTCTAAATATAGCTTATTAAACAAAACCGTTTTCTTCATAGTTGGTTTGACGCTAAAACAGTCTGAAATTGACGTCGTTTTTTCCTCAAAAATCAACGGTCTGTTACAGCAGACACTTGATAATAAAGTGTTCGCATTAGGGAAGGTTTACTGTCTATGAGAATCTGTTAACTGGGCAAAAAACAATGACCGTTGTCTGCATTAACTGGGATCCGCATTAAGTGGGTTGAATTTAGAGAAAATTTAAGGACTTTCCCCTGGGACAAACAAAACTAACCTATGCCACTGATATTGATATTATAAAGGGAATAAAGAGAGATGTAAAGAATCAACCATAAGAGGACACAGAAAAAAAAACTGAGCCCCAGATGGGATTCGAACCCACGACTCTCCGTGTTCTAGATCGGATGCTCTAACCTCTGAGCTACTGAGGACTCGTTAGCGAGCAAGGGTCATTTTTGTAGGTTGGACTTGCCTACCGCATCTCGCAGTCACACAGTCCATCACAAGCAACACATTAAGGCTTAATTAATGTGACTGTGTGATACGGTTAAGCCTTAATATGTTCGGCAGTTTCAGGCTCAAATTTCGCCTAAGCAGGCTACGACTCTCTTGTCCAAAAAAAAAAAGAACTTTAAATTTGCTATCACGCCCTTTGGAACAACGTCTTTTGATGAAATCACGTTCACCTTCGGAGCGTCTCAGTGTGACAGCTTAATAGACCAAGCCTTTTTAAAGCACTCTTCTTTTTCGATGACAGCTAGGGGACCTTGAACGGTTTTGAGGATTGCACAAAGTCCTCTAACACTAGTATCTTGAAAATCCGTAT